GAATGCACGAACGCGATCTCGATACGCGGTTCGCGAGCCATGCACCGCTCTTTAATCCGTCTGTGCTGAAAGTCCAGTTGAGAGACGTTCCTGTATATGAGGGGTTGTTGTGCTGCTGTACGCAGACTGTGCTCGCTTCAACAAACGTTTGCTGCATGTTTCCGCTTATTTGCAATGGCCTAAAACTTGACGCTTGCCTTCCACAACGCAAAAAGGGACCCCACAAGAGCGAGTGTTTCGACACAAGCAAGTGGCAGATGTGCATTGTTTGTGCCTGAGCAGTGTCTGCCAAATGGCGTGTGTTGATTAACGGTGCTCTGCGCTTTGTGCCATGAGTCATCTGGCTCGATGCCCTCATACCCCAGCAGAGCAACAAGGAGCCCATGGACTACACCGCCTCCCCCAAGGCCGAGCTCGACAGGCCCGTCACGATCGATGATGTCATCGCGCACATATGCGAGTACATCATGCACGACAACCTTGGCATCATCGACACGATGCACTTGGCCCTGGCAGACATGGAGGGAGTGGATTCGAAGGATTGCCTCACCTTGGCGGAGCAGCACTCCAAGGCTGTGGACGCGCCCAAGTCGGGCGACTGGCAGAGTGTGGACAGAGACATCCAGGCGAAGGTGAAAAAATACCCGGACTTCATGATGAAGACGCGCAAGCCCAGGTACCCGTCCGACAAGGTGCTGGGGAAGATGTTCAGAGAGTGCCACAAGTACGTGGGCATAACGAAGCCGGTGCAGAGCGACCAAGGTCAGTGCCATAGTGCTGCTGGGCGGAGCAAATGGACCCAAATCCTGCGCGCCAGCTTTCCCCTGACCTGGCAACAGATTGCGTCGAGAGGATCAATTCATTGTGCTGATTACGGCTGCGCCAAACATGGATCAACGATGTGGTTGTCGTAGCCCGTGGTCGCGCCAATCTTGTTGGTGTTTCGATGGAGGCCTTTCTCTGCCTCTTCGGGAACCATGCCCCTGTTTCTACCTGGTGGGCGTTGTCAGCCACATTGGCAATGAACATGCGCGCAGTGCTACGTGTCAACAGCGCGATCGGACGCGCCAGAGCCGCTCGGAGACCGCGCAGAAGCCCCCTTTCCCGTAATGAGTGCACGTTGCTCGGTATGCGTACTTCGGCGGCCTCCATACTACGCCTGGGACAAGATGCGTCGTGCAAGCCAAGCTCATGCCTTCGTACTCTACAGAGCAGCACATCTGGTCTGCGTGTGCTGGCACAGCTCGTCAAGTGTTCATGACACTGCAAACGCGTGCTCACTGGAAGGCCCAACGGTGGGCGCCCTGCATCCCTTTGGGGGAAGCAATGCGCTGCGCGTTGGCCCGTGATGCTCCACATGTTGCCGCCCGTCGTGGAAACCACTGTCCTTATGAAAGCTCACTTTGTGTGTGCATCACAGACCTTTGTACGCAAGGGTTCCCTGCAGCCGGCGCTTTCCAGAAGCGCACCTAACAGATCTGTTAGATTTCCTGTAACTCGTCAACGGTCAAAATGTACAGGCCTAAAAAAACAGGCCTCTGCAATTTCTATCCATACTAAGCAGGGATGATCTATTCGAAATCGAAATCAACACAGCGCCACTTGCTGAAAGTGGACAAGATTGCATAGTGCACATGACCGTGCACGCGATTGTTGTGTACATTGTTTTCTCCAACTGATGCTGCATGCTGTCCTGATGCATGGCCTGGGAGGCAGGAGGGCTCGCCCCTGGGACACTCGCTAGTGTTCAAGTCAACACATAGGTGCATCACAGCCGCTGGTCAATGCTGAAGCTCACGAGTTCATTTGCTGTGTCCGCGTTGCAGACGTTCGCGCTCATTCAGGATTCATCGTGAAAGGCTATGAAGCTTTCGAGGAGGAGGCCAAGGTTGCTCGGACCCAATACAACAACGACCTCCATCACACCATGAAAATGTACGGAATACGAACAGAAGAAGAGCTGATGAGCGGCCACATTGAGACACTGCATGAGAAGGTGCACGACAAGGAAGTTGACGACGTCAGGGAGACGGTCAAGCTCATTCGGCGGAAGCTCATTGAAACTTTCAGAAACAGGTTTGAAGAGGGGCTGGGCAAAGACGAGGAGAAGAGGCTACAGAAGGCGAGCGCCTGGTATCTCGTGACGTACGGCGATGACCCAACACTGTGCGTGGAGACGTACGACCCTGAGCAGGACCCCCGTCGCAGGGGGGAAATCGGCGGCAAGAATCGCAAGGCGGGGCCCAGGAGGTTCCTCAGTTTTCCGTGGGTCGTGAGCGATGTCCTGGCCAAGGTATACTACAGCAACATGAAGAACAATCCGCAGGGGTCCATGCTGTCCATTGCGACGATCATAGGCATGAGCGTCATCCACAAGTTTGAGGAGACGGGCTTCAGCCTGATCGACAATTGGAGTGAACGCTGCGGCGTCTTGAAGACAGTTAAAGAACGTCTCGCGCCCATTGGATACACATTCATGACTGGGCTTTCGGCCTCCATGCTGTTTGACGAGAAAGGGAAGATTGAGTTTGTGCTTGTGCCAAGCCGTGAAGGCGACCGAAACTCTGCAGAGAGGGACCTGAAGCTGCAAAGGAGGATCATGGATGGTGCACATGATCTCCTTTATGTCGAGCTAGAGAAAACCAAGAGACCCCCAGGGGATCCCAAGCATGCCATGCTTCTCTGCAAGCTCGCCAAGCCGCTGACCAAAGTCGCATCGGGCACGTGGGCTGAAATCACTGTGCTTACCTCCGCTCTGAAGAAGTGGAGCACGGTGGTCATGTACATGAAGCAGTATCCCTACTTGCTGCCACTCCTTCGGCTGTTGGCGGGATGGGTGAAGGGCACTGGGCTCACAGACCCTGGTCGAGGCCTCGTGGATTCGTGCGTTGTTCCGTTCATGTTCCTCAACATGTGCCTGAATGATGGCGAGTTCCCTATCCTTAGCACCGCCGAAGTTGAGGAAGTGTGTGAAATGGTTGCCTGCGGACGCGACGTCTGCTTGTTCGCGGATTTGGAGGGGTGGCAGCGTGTAGTGAAGGCAGCACTTGGGATGGACGCCCAGCGCAAGGGTAGCCTTGGGGATTTGCTGCTGGAGTTCTTCCGCCATGGTCGAAGGCATATTGACGACCCCATCCAGCCCTGTTTTAGGGGGGTCCTGTTCAAAGAGGGGAGCCCTTCCTTCGGTCAGCTGATGGGAGATAGGGCAGCCCATCTCCTTCTTGAAGAAATGGACCGGGCCTGCCACCGCTTGTCTCTGCGTGCCGACGCATCGGCGTTGCTGACTGTAGACAGGCTGGAGCAGCTCCACTACATCGAGACAAACGCCGCGTATTCCATTCTCGGGGCTGAGTCAGGCTTCGGCAAATTCCTCAGAAGGCGCAGCGGCGCCACAGAGATCGAGGTGTTCCCAAGAACGGATCCCAAAGCGCCTGGGCTCCTCATCAGGGCGGTGGGCACCGCCGCAGCCCATTGGTCCGTCGGGAGGATAGTGAGGAATCTCGGCGGGCAGTACGCCAACGACGAAAAGAACACTGCTCTCTACACGCGCGCATCAAGCGCCACAGAGGGCGCATACTGCTACCTGATGGAAGGGGCCGAGAGCCAAGGGGACCGGATTGTCTTGGAAGACTACCACAGGCCATGCCATCCATATCATGATAGAGCGGCCAAGTCCGTGGCGCGCATGTGCACCACAGTAGACCTGGCGCCGCTGTCCGGTGCCCTGGACTCCAATTTCGCGGCGTTCATGGAGCACTTTTTGAAGCAGCTGGGCAGAATGGACCGCCTGTATGCTCCCCAGATGCATGGCGACTGCGACCTCAGGGTGCAGTTTGGAAAGTCCTACATCCGCGGGGCCCTCTGGGAACTTGGTGAGGACGGCCTCTGCACGGTCGGCATGCTGCGCCAGGCCCTTGAGAAGCGGAAGAAAGGGGAGGTGCACCCCGCATGGGTGGAGGCCGCCAAAACGCGCCGGGCGTGCACGCGGCGGCACGTCAACACGAGGGACCTTAAATACCGGGAAGTGGGCAACTCGGCGTCTTTCTCCTTCTTCCCCCAAATCAACCGGGCCTCAAGGTCCGGAGTGGAGGAGTGGGTGCGCGGCAAGGGTCTGATCGGCCGGGACGCGGAGGAGGCGTACGAACTGCTGGTGACCAGGGACGGCGTCGAGGATGTGGCGTGCTACGACGAGCGCCTGAACCTCCGCCACGTGGCCGCCCCCGACTTGAGGTGGGCGGTGGTCGACGTGAAGCGCGCGTTCCTGCGGAAGCCACCGGCGAGGGGCGGCGTGGACGGCGCCGAGTGCGACATCAGGTTCATTCTGCGGACCCAGTTTCCCCCCGACCACGACATCAGGCAGGCGGCAGCGACCGGGCTGCACGGCGCGCTGTCCTGGGCGGCGGCTGGGCAATCTCCTGCAGGGACGCAGATGCCGCGCGTCGGGCGCGAACTGATGGAGGCCGGACAAGCGCTCTCCCTGAGGCACGAGAGGCGCCGAATTTTCAAGAGCTGTCGGGCAGGGGGGGGTCTGTCGAACGTGCAGGTTGAACTGACGGAGTGCGGCGTCCTGTCGCGGCCGGCCTACGGGCGCTTTTCCCACGCCGACAACTACTTGAACGTGCAGTTGAGGCCGCTGGCGGAGTGCCTTCGGACGGGTGAGAGCGCCAGCGTGGGGAGCTTTCTGGAGGACGTATGGAGGCTTGCCTTTGAACTGTCCAATGTGATTCAGGGCCAGCCGGCATGAGGTTGATGGGAAACAAATCGATCCCACTGTTGGTCCTCAGGTGACATGCACCTGTGGCACACTTCAGGTCCCAGCTTGGCGATCTTGGGCTGTTGATGACAAGATTGGTTGATGACCATGTCTTCTTCAGATTGCTAATGTGGAATGAAATGATAATGTAGTTGCAGCTTTATCAGCGGTTTTCATCCCAGTCTCGCCTCATAACAAAGTGCACGACTCGCACTGCAAGTCTTGCACTAGAAGAGCAAGTTTGAGAACGCATGGCCCTAGTTTAGTCCTCATCCCAGAATTCGCGGGTGCGCACACATGCTATGCAGCTGCAAACGCAGCGCCCAAGCCTCAAGGTCAAGGTTGGTAGGCTATTGCACGTATCAGCGAATGAGGATGCGAGCCACATGAAGATTAACAGTGACGACATGACGCTGCTGGACGGTGTAACGAGGGCCGTAACGACTGCAGCCAACACCCCAAAACAGGGCTGCGCGTATGTACGTCCTTTCTGTGGCCTTGCTATTGCTGCTTCCTAGGCTTATCAACAACGCTGCTGGTAGGCTGGCAGTGGCGGCCGACATCATCGGCAGCCAGCAAGGGAGAGGGCTACGGTCGTTTGCACGGTGTCGTGGCCCCGATCCCACGAACGGTGCCACGGACTATTTGTCCAAAAGGCCATACGCAAAGAAACAGGACGTTGTATGTGTTGGGAATGCTATCGGCTGAATATTCTTGGATTGCACTTGCCCCACGGGCAAGAACAACGCCCTCGCGCCTCCAGGGTGATGGCGGACTCTTTCGATCTTCACATAGATCTCTCAAACGACCACACATTGTACGTCTCAAAACGACCACACCTTGCGGGGGCGACGTGTGCCGGACACGTTCTCAACAAGTGCGCCGCCGGCTCCCACACTTGGCTGCTAACATGCCTTTTTTCGGCAGCTGCTGATAACATTAAAACTCAAAAAATTTCGCGTCCCTTAGTACAAAGCCCACTTATTTGTCCGTTGCAGACCAAAAAAGATTTTCAACAATACGCTGGCCAGTCATTGTCCCAGTCAATGTAACTGCAAAAGAATTCCCAATCCCCCCAGGCTGGCTGCCTGGTGGGGGATTCCGAGAAAGCGGTACGGTACAAATAAAAGCCCATTGTACGGCTCCTTCCGGAGCCTCCAGCTCGGGCACCTAAATACGTCGTCAAGTCAGTGGGTGTCACCCTCGGGCAGCGGCCTCAGTCCACCTCTGCAGACATTCTGTTGAGGTGGCAGACAAAGGAGACCTCTGTTGTGCGTCCAGCAACTGACGGCGCCCCATGCCAGTTCTGTCACACCCCAATGCATCAATTGGGCCACACCCTACCCGCAAACGGCTGCATATGCTGTGCGCAGCCAAACCTGCAGTCTAACTACCCAATTCGCCATGGCCTCGTGCGTTGTCCCCGCAGCTGGGGAGAGTTGGGTTCATATCTGATAGTTTTTGAAGCCGCTGCATTGGTCCATGCTTTGGCACGGCTCGGGCTTCTTGTTCGACTTGATAATCCTTGCTGGCACCCCCACAGCCACAGAGTGGCTTGGCACATCTGCCACCACGACAGTGCCGGCGCCGATTTTTGTGCCCTCTCCAACGTGAACGGGCCCCAGGACAGTAGCGCCCGCCCCCAGCAGGACTCCATGCCCTGCACACCATCCACAACGAGAACGACACCTTAATGCGTTGATTGAGGCATTGCCTTTCCTGGACAATTCTTGGGTGCAAACACACCTGCATGGGCGACTGCTTCAGAAAGCTTCTGTGCTTGGAGTGCTTCTCAAAAAAAGGCCCCAACGTCACAATAGCAACTTGCATATTATAGCTCACGTATCAATCAAGCTAAATTGGTCGATGATCTTGTTGGCTTGTAGGCTACCAAAATGGTCAACGATCTTGTTGCCTTGCCAGCTACCCAGTTAGCAACTCAAATTTATGACGAGGAATGCAAGTGATGCAGGCAGATGGGCCCCTGTGCTGTGGTGATCTGCTACAAGGGTAATCTCACGCCTGTCGGCGAATGAGGCTGAGATCCAGCCAGCAGCAGTCTTGCCCTTATCTCTGTTGCTACTGCATAAGCCTTCATGCCATCAAAAGGATGCACAAGCGCACCTATCTGAGGATGCCGGGTTCCCTTTCCAGTTCCGCTGCCACCCAATGTGACGTGGTGCAGCATGCTGACATTGTCACCAATGATAGACGTTTCCCCCATCACGATCCCAGTCGCATGGTCCATCAGGATCCCTCGCCCAATGCTCACAGCAGGATGGATGTCAACATGGAAGACTTCAGACACACGACTCTGCAGTGCCATTGCAAGCGCCTGAAATACACAGCACACAAGCACAAATGCTCTTGGTACTAGCTTATCAGTCAGAGTTATGGCTGGCTTATCAGCTGCATAGAATTCATAAGGCACACAGCCACAATCAAGTCTTCAGACGCAACAGTGCACCTCGCAGCAGCCAACACGCACAGGCCCACAACTTCCCATTGGTATCTAGCCTGTCAAATTGGTCACTATGCCACCATCAACTACTCCAGACCATGAAAACTGGTGGAAGCCTGCCACCAACACAAGCCTGCTCAAAGTTGGCAGGTCAGACCTCCAAGCTCTCGTTCACCAACAGCATTTTGTTGTGCAAGGTGCGAGGCAACGATTATGAGGTTTCCACACGTTTTCCAAAGCACAAACCAATTTGCACTCACCTTTCTGCCTTTTTGCCACAGCCAGTGGGCAATTCGGTGGCTCTGCACAGCTTGATAGCCCTTGAAGTACAACATGCACTGTGTGTACTTGTCACATGCAGGATCGCGATCAATCACCGCCTGCAAATCGGCATTGCAGGCATCTATGATGGCCTGGGCGTGACACAAATCAGAAACGGATAGTCAGCCACCATACAACTGTCAATGCATCCAAGGGAGACAAATGTCACAGCCACATGAAACATGTGCCTAAACCAGTGCTTAGCGAGTCTGCGCGCATAAGAATGCAAGATATCCAACACTCTGGAGAGAAGCATACTGGTGAGAACAACGTTCTTCACGATAAGTGCTCGATATGAGACTACCGTACACTGAACAAAACAGAAAGTGCTGCGCAGTCATATGCAGACACAGGCGACTGCAGGACTCAAGGTGGTGGCCAGCCAGTGCGCTCCTGCAAGCAGAGGCCCCCACAAGCAGATAAGGCACAGACACAGAAGAACCCGCTCACCGGGTCATCCTCGAACGCGTCCAGGCACAGCCGCATCAGGTGCGTTCCCAGCAGCGTGGAGGACGCCAGCTTGTTCGCGATGACGAACGCCATCGTCTTCTCCAAGCTCTGGTGCACGAGCACGGTGCTGTGCAGGGTGCTCGCCAGCGTCGGCTCCGCCACCTGCGGCAGCCATCCCACCACCCCTCAGCCCGCGGACGCCAGCAACTCACGCACAAGCCCCACAAAAAGTCTACCCCAAAAAAAAAAAAACGGTCGGGGCCCATTCCGTCCCGGGCTCCGGCTCGGGTTGCAATTGTTCACCCGACAGACTCAAACAATCATCAGGGCAACGACAGCAGCCGCGCTCTCGCGCCGCCCAGGCTCCGGATCCGTCCCACTCACAGCGTCCTCCGCCGCCTCCTCCCTGATCTTTTTCCACAGCGCGTCCTTGGACAGGTGGTGCGGCATCCAGCGCCAACCCTGGGACGGGTGGTGCCCGCGCGCCTCCCGTTCTGTCTCTGCAGCGCCGAACCCATCCGGGGGTGAGTATCCCGCGGTCGGCAGCCGCGAGTCGCCCCCACCCACCCAGCCAAACGGCGGGCGCCCATTCCAATAAGCCAGATCCCACGAGTTGCGCCCACGGGAGCACTGTCACGTGCCTTCCACCCCATGCAGGGCAATCCCCGCCGCAAAAAGCACTCGCATCAAAACTGCCTAGGCATGAGGACCACGGGCCGGCCTCGGAACGAACCCCTGCCGCCCGCATCCCCACTTCCTGCTCGCGACCACGACACATGGCCGCATGCGCGCCCAATCCCACGCGAGTCATCGGATGGCGTGGGCGCCGCGGACCGGCTCACCTTCGACCGGCACGGACGCCAGCTGCGGCCACGAAAAGCTGAGCGTCTCCTGGCTGCTCTCGTCCTTCACCGCCAGGCCGCCAGCAACGGCGCGCAGCTCTGGCGTGGAGTGGGCGCGCGACACTCCCGAACCCAACCTCCGCAGATCTGGCGCCACACAGAGCGACCAGCGCCGGTGAGAAACAAAATTCGGAAAACCCCAAAGCCAAACGAGAACAAGCTGACGGGCTAGAGAGGTTCCAGAAAGTCCACCACGCGCCCATCATGTTCCCATACCCGCGATGCCGCCCTTGAAATGCTGCCTGAGCGGCTGCCGGCTGGGCGCTCTGCCGCGCAGGGCGCTGCCCTCCGGCGTGTGGCTCCCGGCGCGGTGCTGGCCCGCCATGGCGACCGAGGATCCGCCGGGGCCACCAGGGATGCCGGGCACGAGCCTGGCGCCTCCGATTCGGCACGCAGACCGTCGCCGCCTGTTGGGATGCGGTCAGGTGGCGGCAAGCAAGCCGCCGGGGAGATCGAGCGCGGGATGATTTGTTCGGAGAGGCGGGGGAGCGGGAGAGTGGCCGGGTGTTCTTGGGGGACGTTCGGGAAGCGACGGGCCCTTTGTTGCCTGGCGCGGCGGGGCTGGGTGCCCGCAGCGTTGCGGTTTGAAGGCCTCACGCGATATATGGCGAGCATGAGGAAAGGGGGCCTGAGGGTGGGCTGGTAGCGGCCGCAAGTACTGGTGGAGGTGCCTCCCAACTGGGAGAATGTGGACAGGGGATGCGCTAACATTGCTGCCCCATGTGTAAGGTTGGTTCCTGTTATGTAAAACTGATTGACGAGCCGCCATTGATGAAATGGAGCGTGTCTGGGGGATTGGCAGCCGGAATGGAGCCCGCTGGAATAGGGCGCGGAACTTTCTGGAAGCGGGCAATTGAGGTGGGACGCTCGCACCTGAGTGAGGACTGTTGTGAGGGACTTCTCACAACGGTTGCGCCAACCCGCTGGCTTGCCAGAGAGGAGGTGGCGTTCTCATTGATGATACCCCGTACCGAAGCGTCGCGACATGCTGTTTCGAGGCAATTACGAATACGTTGTTGAATCGTTGGCCAGCTGCCCATTTCAGTTCCCACCAATTTTGTTAGAACATGGTAAAGTTTGCCACAATGACTGCAGGGATTGTGAAGGCTGCTAATCAAAACTGTTTGGGTCCTGAACTCTGGGACTCAACGCCGCAGGAATCCACGGGCGTTCGCCCAGCTGTTGCAAGTTCCTTTCAAGCCACATCCCCACGCACGCTAGAGTGCAGGCCAGCAGCGCAGCTAAAAAACCAACAAAGGGAGGTTCATACATCTCAATTCACACCAACATGAATACCCGCTATTTGATAACGGCACTACATTGTTCACTGAATCCAATGTGATGAGATCCGATCTCATGCCACGCTCAGAATAAGTCGCAAACAAAGTCCTCGGCAATGGGCGCGCGCGCACACACACATACACACACAAGCCTCGACACCCACTTGTTGTGGGGCCCCCCCTGCTGGAGCACATACTCAACGCCAATGCAATTTGGACGGTTGTTGACATTCCCGACAACATTCCAAACCCTTATAGGATTTCGATAGGAATTGGAGAACCTCAGAAGGTGCAGATCATACGAGACGTCTCAAAGGGAGTACTGGAGCAGATGATCTATCCGTACTACTTGCCCGACCTTCGCTCGGCGACCATTACGTCATGGGCGCAGGAATTCCATGGGCGAAAGAGTTTTTTCAATGGGTGCACACTCGCCAGCATCTCAATGCATAGCTGGCCCACCCAACACCGCCACAATCGTGTTCTTCCTTCACACACGCACATCGGCCCCTTGGCGCCCCACGTTGCTTGATTTTGCATCATACCGCATTGCTTCCCGGCCGCAATCGCTGTCCGAGGTGTGGCTGTTGCGCGGCAGCGCGCAACAGGGGGTGAGAGAGAGCTACCGGTTAGAGGTGGCCACTCAAAGGTGCCATCCGGTCCGTTAAATCCGGTTCGTTAATTTTTATCAGCTGTCCGTTAAATTTCGTTAAAGAAAAAGGGAGAAAAATTCAGAAAAACGAAAAAAATCCAAAAAAATTGAAAAAAACCCCAAAAAATCACAACAACTGCGGCTAGTTGAAAATCTAGTATGCATAGGTTGAAATAAAATACAAACATACTCTCTAATAGCGAATTCCATAAACTATAAGTATGACTAAAACACAAAAATCCCCAAAAAATCCAAAAATCCGCTAATTTTTGGTTAATTTTTGTCTTTTTTCGTTATTTTCCGTTAATTAAGGGAAAATTAACGGAAATTAACCTATGTCCGCTATTAACGGATCCGGGTGGCCACCTCTA